CATACAACAGCCGGTGGGATGGCCGTGCCGCCCCCACCAGAGGGTTGCAAAGATTGGGGATTGGGAGCAGGTATTGGCCAGGCGGGATGGGGAATAGGGTGGCGACGTCAGGATGGGATGTGAGGCCCAAGGCAAGGATTAGGGATGAGGCGTGCTACACTACTTTTAGGATGGGGATTGCTGTCGGGGTGAGGATGGGATTGGGAACCCTGGCCAAGGATGGGGATGGGACCCTGGCTGACAGGAGGGGGATTGCAGGCTGTCGCAGGTTTAGAATTGGCTCGCTGCCATAGGGTGAGGATTGGGGACACAGCTGGAGGATTAGGATGGGGGGTTCTGCTGTAAGGTGAGGCTGCAGGTGCAGAATGGGGAATACTGACAGGACTGCAACAGACCAAGGATGGATGGTGTAGTTGTCCATAGTTGCCTACTTGGCGTGGTGTTACTGATGGTGCATCTCACAGCGTCTGGTGAAAGTGTTTAAATGGTGGCCAAAGCCAGTACCAAACATGCACGTTGTCATGGTCGATTTTGCTCACACACTTCAACTCATGGGTCAGCAATATGGTAAATCAAACACCGAGAGATGTCTTCACAAAGCAAGGCACCCCTGCCCAACAGCACCATAATCAGCTGTCCAGGTATAGCCCATGCCCATGGTCACCAGCACCACAACGGGCCTCATATTGGAAACCCTGGCTGAAGAGATTGGGGATGGGACCCTGGCTGGCAGGATGGGAAACCTGTCTTGAGGGATGGGATTAGCACCGGGCCTTAAGATGGGGGATGGGAATCGGTCACCCCAGCCAGGATGGGAGGATGGCTGACCACTACCCACCCCCAGGATTGGGGGATTAGACCCCTTTTGCAACCCTCTGCCCCCACTATCTGCCTCATGAATAAAATCTGCAGCTGGACTGCACTATCCTTCAAACAGGCTTCGAACATGCCCTCCGCAAGGTTGGCTTTATCCCGCCGCCTTCCCACCCTGTCCACGACCTGTGCCAGCGCAAAAGGGCCCCACGCCTGGCAGCCATACAACAGAATTGCTCGGACTTGGGTTGCAAAGCACCGCATTCGCACGTCGGGGGCAAACAGCTTCATTGAGTCCAGCTTTGCGCTTAAGAAAAACATAGCGGACCGACCTGTATCACATAACTGCTGACGGCACGCACTGAAAGGCCGTTCTGGGCCGTATACCAAGCCCAGATAGCGAGCGCTATCTTTGGCAGGTACTACCTGGCCTGATAGATAGCCGTAACTGTTGACATCTCTCGCTAAGTTCCGACTGCTGGGTGCCATCACATGCAAAAACAAGCCTTCCACACTTTGAGACATTGGTCGCATCCCAAAGGCTTCGCAAAACAAGTCCACAAGATGTAGCAACTCAGACATTCGCTCTAGTGACGTCGCTAGCAGACTAACATCGTCTGCATACAACAGTATGCAGACGCGCTTGCTGTCCCCCTACCAACTCATAGGGGGTCTAACAGCGGCTAACTTCTTAGGCGGGGCTGTCAGCCGGGCTCATTATCAGCTGCTGACGATAGTTGTCAACGTGGCATAACAGCCAGTTAGACACTGGGTTAGAGGCTGTTTGGTCCTGTTAGGCCCTGTGACTGACATGTACCTGGAGCCCACACTGTTAACAGTTGTCTGATTCTAGGGACTGTTAGCAGCTGTAAGGACCTGTAACAGAGCGCTTTCTGCCACAACAGGATATTGTTGACAGGATGTTACATTCTGGTTGGGTCACCCAGATGCTGAGAAAGAATTTTTGACGGCTGTTAGGTTTTTTTAAGTTAACAGTTGTCTGATTCTAGGGACTGTTAGCAGCTGTAAGGACCTGTAACAGAGCGCTTTCTGCCACAACAGGATATTGTTGACAGGATGTTACATTCTGGTTGGGTCACCCAGATGCTGAGAAAGAATTTTTGACGGCTGTTAGGTTTTTTTAAGTTAACAGTTGTCTGATTCTAGGGACTGTTAGAAGCTGTAAGGACCTGTAACAGAGCGCTTTCTGCCACAGCAGGATATTGTTGACAGGATGTTTCATTCTGGTTGGGTCACCCAGATGCTGAGAAAGAATTTTTGACGGCTGTTAGGGTTTAGGGAAGGTAATTGTTAGCAATTGTTCAATTCACTTAAGTTGTTAAGCGGTGCCAAGGGCTGTAGTTGCTAACAGGCGTTGAAAGCTGTTACGAGCAGGGACATGCTGAAAGGAAGTTCCATCATGTTACTGGCTGTTGCCATTACATAATTTGCTGAACTGCTGTTTAAGGATTTTACTTGCTGTTTTGAGGTTCAGACGCTGTAAATGTTATGAGCTTTTACATGATCCCTGTTGTAACGACGCAAATGCCAATCTGAGCATCCCGGGTTACGCCTTTGCTGTGTTACAATGGTATCGAGACGGGACCGCACGAATTCCGAAATAAACTTCGGGTCGGCGGTTCGATTCTGGCAACCAGCAAGTCGCAAATTGGCGATTTCATGGTGTAATGGATAAACCAGCGCACTGGCGCGAGGTGGGATGGCTCCTGTGCTCGAAATAATGGCCGAGGACGTCCATTGCTAAGTGGGGGCAATGTAACGACGCAAATGCCAATCTGAGCATCCCGGGTTACGCCTTTGCTGTGTTACACCTGTCCATTGTTAAATCACACCTTTCCTTTTTTTGGATATCTCTCTGACTTCATTATTCATGCCATCAGCATCTATTTGCCATCATTGGGGATAGAAGCTTGTACTGCATGGGTAGGCACAAAACCACATTCGTCAGGAATTATATACATAAGTATGTATTATACACAACAGTCTGGGTCGCCCTGGTCACCTCACTTGCTCATCATGTGGAATTGTGCAGTATAGTGCACAGCCAGCTGGCCTGTACCTGTACAGGCATCTATTGTCTCTATTCTTTACAAGTCTGGAGGCTGCTACCAAAATCATCACAGCAACATCAGTACCTTGTCTTGGCATGCAATTATACATACATGTTCTTCATCAACCTTCACCTGTGACCTGTTCCACACTACTACTGCACTGCTTCCTGTTTTCCTAGTGAACACCTACTACACACCACTGAACCACATATATGGCCCTAGACTGCAGCTGCCCACTTTCTCTGTATCCCTGCTCATCAAGGAACCTGTCTAAGCAACCAACGC